TAAAATATAATCCGGGCCAAGTTTGTATGCATCTTATACATGTATAAAAGGATATGCATCAGGCCATATGAGTGAGCATAGATATTCCCATCTCAGGTTGATAAGGGTCAGTGATCAGACATATACAATCTTAAGAGATTTATAATAAACCACCACAAAGAAAATGTGTCATATAAATGGAACCTCAAATAAGGATTGAAGAGTTGGGAATATATGTTGGATATTTACAAAGTCTTTCTCTTATAAAGTTTATAATAAGAACTTGAGCCAAATATGGGTGATTGGAATATGGCCAAGTACATGGATTACATAAGGAAGTAAATCCAACTATCCAACATGGAAATGAGAAAGATATAAGCTGGATAAAACAATGGTATTAACCATTAGTGTCTTGGCAAGATCCTCGGACTAGAACATAAGATTCTGGACGTCCACAAGTTATCAAGAAATGATACAATGCTAGCAAAACTATATGCAAGACACATAGACCCAGGAATGAATGACTAAGTCATACCAGCTTATGCACCACGAGTTTAATGTCCTAGTAGAGACATAATCAAGTTGCTATAAAGTCTATAAAGGTAGACTAATAAGTTCCAAAAGAAAGAAACCTCGGAAAGGAAATGAAAGGTGCATTTCATTATGGAATCCGAGTTCAAAGGAAACTAACCAGACATAAAGGGAAAACCTGGCCAGGTGAACATCTAAGGTACCAGACCATGTAAGCTTGGGACGCCAAGATTACAAGGCAGGAAAGGTACTGGATAAGTAAGATCTAAAAATGGTTTAGATCATGTCTGAGTAAAATGGAACTATATATATAAGAGTGTTAACACCAGTGGTATAAGAAGACTTATATAAGCAAATAGCACTTGAGATTTATGGAAATGGAAATGAGGATCATGAACCCATGGAAGAGTACTCATAGATCATAGCATCATGGGGTTCAGAGTATATATAAAAGTATGATGTGTGTATTGGCCATATTGGAACACCATCAACCAGTGATATGTAGGTCTTGTGAGTGATATGAATCCGTGAGAAAAAGGTTAAAATGAACTCAGGGTATTCATGTTCTTACA